ATAATGGGTAAAGCGGGAGGGGAGCATTTAACCGATTGTTATCGGTTAAAGCCTCCCCTCCCGCTCTACCCATTATCTGTTACCTGAACAGAACGAACCGTTCGAAGGAGCTATTTTAAAGGAATTCATCAAAACTCACACTTACATTCATTACTCCCAAATTTAACGTATTTAGACGTCTCAAGGTCATATTGTCGAATTCATATCGATAAACCTGCGTTACAAATGTTTCAAATCAAACAATTCATAGTCAACAAAATTCAATCCACGTTTTCTGTTATCTGCTTTATAGTTTCTGCTCACTCATCAAAAGAATGCCCAATAGGTCATTATAGTTTCTGCTCACTTATCAAAGGAATGCCCAATAGGTAATAAACTGCTTAATTGAAAAGTATCTGAACAAAGATCACATACCGATTCGTAGATAAACTGGAAATGACGACGTACGATTTTTTAAGTAGAACAACGCAAAAGACTGAATCAGCCAGTGATTCCGTAATGTACGTCGTACAATGAAATGAATTGATCATAGGCTGAATTGAGAGTCTCTAATTATTGAGCGGGTAGGATGAGCGATTAAATCTGAACACTATGAAACTTACAATTTTTGAGAAAACTTCTACGAATTATTTGACATTCCTGAAGAATGTGAATCTGATTTGCATACCGAACATTGTTCACCTCTCACTCAGAGTATGGTTCACGTGCACAGGTTAAAATAAACCATCAGCATTTCTTTGGGAGTCTCAGAAAGGCTGCGGAAGGTCACTTACAATTATCAATTTTCCAATGCTGGATGTGATTCCACCAATAGATCTATCAAGGATTTTGAATTTTACCCGAAATCTAGAAGACTGTCCAACTTTGATCATAAGAGCCGAGATTTCTCATCAGAAACACATTCACTCCCAAGAGACATTGGACGTTCTTATCCAACGTATAGACGTGAGTTGGAATAAAGCGTGGAGTGTTTGATATCCGAGATTTCGAAAATCTGCAAATGAGATTTCAAAAAACAACTGACAATCTGAATCGTCGAAGTGCATTCAATAACCTTAAATAACGACTAATTTTCCATCCTCGTTTTATTATCTGAACACATTTGGATTGATTAAGAATCAGCCTGGAATAATACCTGAACATATATGGATTACATGAGCAATTCCGGGTTGGGATGGATTTGCGTGCATCAAATACGTAATTTCATTCCTTTGTTATTTTCATTTTGTATTTTTACCAGACTGATTGTGAGGAAACTTCATTGTTTCCATGTTAGATCTGTTTTTGTTGAGTAAATACTACCGTTTTTGTGGTGCTGTGTAATTTAGTGATGTTTTTGAACAAGATGAACTGAGAATTCATTGCGAATGTTTCGAAAAAAATCTGAAAATTTTCAAAAACTTTTTGATTTGTTAATGTTTAAACGCTCACATGGGTGCTTTATTGAGTCTATGATTAAATTAAATGTCTTAGTGAACGAAAATTACGGTTATTTATACGTGTTCCTTTCCAGTGATTCATTTTTTGAAAAATGAAAACATCGCAACAAAATCATTCAAACAAATTCAGCGAACATTTATCAGTGTGTTGAAAGAAGTGATGCTGAGTTCATCGTCGAAAGCAATTTTGATTTATGAGAATGAAACATGAAATCAAATGCAACTGAACAATTTATGTCGGCATTCTGCAAGTAGCTGAATGGTGAATGGTACTACGTTGCTGGTGATGATTTGATAAATTATTGTGAATTTATTTAATCAACAAATCTAAATCATTACGAGTTTATGCTTGTCTGTTATCACCAATATCACTAATATCACATTCTTCCTTCCTAGACATCCCTCTTTCCGCGCAGCTAACAACAACAGCGCTCAGAACCATTTGCCTCCATAGAATTATAACTTCGATTATTGCTTTGGTGAGCACAGAGGTTTTGGGCCGCTCTCCTGTATTGCCCAATGGTAAGTTGATAAATTGGCAATGCTGAATTGCCTGACGACATAAAGAATTGCCTTGCACTGGTTCAATGAACAACTATCAATATCAAGGTCTACAAATATCAGTATCAAAAGGTGTACTATGAACAGACGAAGACTGAATAAACACACGGGAAAATAAATATTTGATGTATGGATAATGTTTTTGCAAGAAACGATTTGATTGTTCATCTCACGAATTATTCGCAACTTTGCGCTTTTTTTTCTTGTCTACGTAAAATGCCATCGTTCCACTTGAATTCTACTGCATTCCTGTTTTCGAAACTGGACACTGACTGCGTTTTCATTCCTTTTCGATCTTTATTCTATAGTAAGTTTTTGCTCTTCCATCACCTTGTTTCGTATGAATTTGATCACTTCCCCAATGGACATATAGTGGTATTATTACCAACTTTTACGGATTCTGCTACTTTCTTATGAGTCCTCATCAAAACTTTATCAAATTTCACTGCGAATTGACCAAATGAGACCGGAGACAGCTGTTAGCTTGAACGATCAGCTGAATATGAAGTGGTACAACCAAATGCCTTAAATCGTAACAACGAAAACAACAATAACTCAATTATTTCATTTTTATTTTCACTGTGATTATCCTATAAATATTATCGACACTATTATCAATCTAATATTATCAACATTATCTGAGTCATGCTCACTATTGCTACGATTCTAATTCCTCGTATTCTCTCAGCTTCTAGTCATTTCTGGCTGAAGCATATGTTCAAAAAATTTGCACTAGTGCAGGAAAATTCAATAAAACACGTACGAGACGTATTCATGCACGAACAACACACAAATATATCGAATACTAAATGTCGCACTTAATGTCAGTGGATTTTCATACTTACTTCATATGTGCTGCTGTCTGTGTATATCGATTTTGTTTTATCAAATTCCTTGTTTATAGTGCAGATTTGGTTTTTTTTTGTGGTGTTATGAAATGGGATTCCGTTGGATTCCGCGTATAAATTAGCGCAGACATATATTTATCTGTGTACATTTGTGTATATTTCCTCATTTTAATGCGTTTATTCTCATTTGTGGTACATTCCCAAAATAGCTTTCAAATATTTTCATCTTAAACTAATGCTGTAGGAAAGCGGATAGAATAATATTTTCTCGTATATATTTCGAAATCCAGTGTTGGGCGCGCTATCGAAGAACGATAGCGCGCTATCGCTATTCCGCTAGCGAAAAGACTTCCGCTAGTCCGCTACCGCTATCGCTATTACGCACTGAATCGATAGCGGAGCGCTATCGCTATCGCCTACTTTAAAAACCTCATTACACCACTAAATGATTCAAAATTTTCATTAATCAACACGCATTTTTGAATTAGATGTGAGAAACATTACGAAAGTAGATTTTCACGAGAAAATAAATTTTATTTTAAGACAATAGGAGACAATATAGGTTTTTAAGACAATATAGGTTTATCTGCTCAATTCCTCACCTGGGATGAAAGCCCGCCGCAAGCAAACAGTCAACATTATCCAACATTGGACCGAATCTTTTCCTGATGCCTTGCAGTAGTGCGTCGACAAGCGGTTCGCAAAAAAATAGATCAAAAATAGATGACTATTTTTGATCTCATTGAGTTTAATAGACGCCGTGGCGCAGACCGGTAGCAACCAACCGAGATAAGCGCCTTCATCGCTCTGGACCACGTCGATAGCAGTCGCTACAGGATTCATAACATGGGCATACTCCGTCCAAAATTCATAATCTTCCTCTGAAAACGCTGTTAAACCCTGTTGAATCATAGCCCGCCGGAGATTGGCCCTTTTCGTTTCAACAACCTTGTTTAAGCAGACAATCGCATCGTAGAAACTGTTCCATCTCGTATCACTTGGCACGATCAACCTTACGCCCAGTTCCTTGTGGAGGGCATTTGCGGTTATTGTGCTTTGATTCTGACGATTCCACAACGCTTTCGCCTTCGCTAAAGCACTTCTGTAAGCTTTTTTGAATGCAATTTTATCGAGAACCTTTTCTGAATCCTTGGTGGCGATTAAATTCCATGTGTGTGCAGCACACCTCATATGGGCTGGTAGTGCGATATTTTCTTGTTCTTGGTCGACCAGGTCAGATAAGGAAAAAAACTCTGCTTCTTCACATATCGATTGACCCCGATCATCCTCATTTTCCTGAAGTAACTC